GCCAGGCATACACAAACACTCAGTGTTCTGGCTTAGGAAGCAACTTCCTAGATAGGCAGTTTGTTTTGTAAATGTCTGTGACGGGTATTGAAGATACTGCCTACAGACCAGATCCAGACTATGGAGCCATTTCAATCTGGACCATGGAGCTCTTAGAGGAGCTGGGGAATTAACTGAAAACTGCATCACTGAAATCAAGGATAAAGAGCCCTGTTTGGGATGTATTATGGCAGCAAGATGAGCTGCAGCTGAATTAACACCCCCATGCTGCCACTCACCCCATGGCTGGTGGCATGTCCAGATGCAAACTGCAAGAAACCCTGCAAACTAGATCCAGCCCAGAGGGCTGCATGAGTTTGATACCCCTTCTCTAAGCAATAGCCTAAATATAAATGTTTAGAAAGCTGTGATCTCTCTCTCTAAATAGTGATGTAAAGGATCTGAAAAGGCCAGCGTGAGCACTGAAGGATACTCATTACAGATATCCTGAATTATCCTGGGTCACCCTTACTATGTGACATCTCCCTAAACAGATTAGATGTCAACCATCCAGATCCCCTGCCACTGTGGAACACTCAGCAGGGTTCTAAAGAGAAGATCTTAGATAAGAAAAAAGAAACCATCGTACCCCACCAATCCACTCCCAGCAAATCCAAAGTGCAGAAGGGAAGCACTTCTCAGGAGTGCCCCATGTGCCTTTTCGTGGGACTTCCATGCTCAGCAGTATCCCTGGGAAATACTTATGGATCAGCTGCACAGGGTTGGTACATAAACACAGAAGTCCGTGGGCAAGATGTAAGAGCATCTCTCCCTGAGAACACTAGGGGCAGGGCAGAGGGGAGACAGTGTATACATACACTCACTGTTCTGAGTTAGGAAAAAGATTCCCAGATAAGCAATTTGTTACATAAATGTCTGTTATAGGGTTTCTTGAAATATTTAGCACTGGACCCATCAGAAATAGGAAGACTACTGATCTGACCTTGTTTGGCAATTCCCATATTCTTCTACAGGAAGTGTGCAGGATCCACAAAAGGATAAAGACATTCAAGACTGAACTTGATGAAGAAGATTTAACTAGAAAGGCTGGAGATGAAGAGGATCTGTAATGTGTGTAATCTAGAATGTATTCCTCCCATGCAAGTTAAACCAAAAGACAGAATCATTATACAAAAGAAGAGCCACATGGAAGAAATTAACAGAAGAAAAATGGAAGGACAGTACTATGTCAAAATACGTACGGTGTTCAGGAGAAGAGTGATTTCATACTAAAAACAAACACAACATAAGAATTGCATACCCCATGAGTGGGAAACTGCTTCATCTCATTTCTGTAATGTGCTCAACTTCTTGCACATCTATGAAATGTTGTTGTACCCCTACTTGTCTGTTAAACTCATTGGAAATTAGAATGTAAACTAGGCAGGGACCCCATTTTCTGTATGTGTTCTCCAACATACTTACTGTGCTTATGGGCATGATATAAATAATAGTAATATCATCACTGAATAGTAAAGGCCATCACAGTTGGATCCTTTAGAGAAAGATACAAAGAATTAATAAAAAATAAAGAATTAAAAACCAGTTGGCATGATCACCTGCTGATTACCATGGAATGAAGGAGGACAGAACAAATGAAAACAGATTCCTAGACCAAGCTCTGAGATGTTAAAAACTACAGGGCACTCTAGTTGCATAGAACCTTAACAATATACATATCCGATAGGCAGCACGCGTGCACACAGCCAAAAACATATCAAAGGGATTACAATATCAGTTACATAATGCAAAACACATAACCCAACCATGCCAAAAGCAATACTGGACTGACTTCTTACAGTTGGGACTGAGAATGTTGAAAATAAAGGAATGAGATTCAAGACCAACTTATATCAGCCATATTCAGGAGCAGGGTCAGAGATCACAGCAGTACCATATGCACTATAGATTTAAAATAAATAAATAACATTTAAGAAAAATAAGAAACATAATGTATATGCATGGAAAAAATGGGTGAAAGTACTGAAATTCAAGGAAAGAACAACTCACTTCATAAATCACTATTTTAGGTTCTGAGGGTAAAAATAGCCCAAATCCCTGTACAGGCATGAAAGGCTGCGTACCCCTTGTTCATCCAAGAAAGCCCAAATCTGTTGAAATTTTGAACATACAAATATCTGCATGCGAACTCAGACTGTCTCTGCCCAAGATGATTATCATGGGATCTCTGTGTAACATGTGCACACAAACAAATATAAAAAATAGTAAAATTACTTAAGATGGTAAATGAAGAGACCAGGAGAAAAAACAGGCATAATGAAGTTCAAAGAGATTAAGGAAGTAAGACTGTTTTTGCAAACAAACAGAGAAAAAAGGAATGTTAAAAACAAAAAGAGTCCTACTAATGAATAAGGACAGAGAGGGAATCAACGACCCTGGTGATTACTGGCCAATAGGCCTAGCCCCAGTCCCAACAAACAGATTAGAGTATAAATATCAAAACATACCAAAGCTATGAGCAAAATGTGTGGGTTTACTTAGAAAGAGACAAAAAATTCTCTTTAAAAATGAACAGGTTTTTAATAAATATAAAACTTAGTAGATGAAGGAAATTTAGTAGCTTTCAAATTGTGAGATTTTAATAAGATATTTTATATATAATCTCTACAAAAACAAAGCCTCTTTCAAAACAGATCATATTGGCTTGAATATGAATTCTTTCACTTAGAGATCACAGACTGATGGGCTCCAAATCAAAATTCAAGTGCATCATGTCTGTCAACTTTGTGTTTGAGTATTATGTGTGTATGTCACCTTCCTTCCCTTACACTCATCATCCTATTAAGAGAGGCCACAGTAGACCCCCTTGTCGAAAAGTCTGTTGAGCCACCAACTAAGTTGCTCAAGGCCTGGGGATCTGTCATCACTTATCACCTCCCTTTTGCTCATTTCAGGCTCTCCTAGATGTTCAGCAG